GGCCACATGGGTGTCTTGATTTTCCTTTTCTAAAAAGTAAGTAAACGAATTGTGGTTATTTTGGTAAAGCTATAAGAAGCTAGAAAAAGAGGTACAGAAGTATGTATTTTATAATTTTATACATAATATCTTTTTAACCTGGCAAACAATTCTATATTATAACTTAATGGTCTTACCATTTTTTGTCTTTCAATTTTTTATTTTTGTGTTGCAATGCCAACATTACAGACCTGTAAAGACATCTCATCATAGGTTCATCATGTGGCCCATTTCACGGTGGATCAAGTGGCAGTATGCCTGAAAATGGTCCTGGACATGGATCCATGGTTAACTGCTTCTCTCCAAAGGCAGAATACAAAATCATGAAGACAAATGCCCATATCCTGAAGTGTAGGTAGCTGTTCAGGCACACATGGATATTGGGAGAGATTCACAGGCTGTGGTGGCAACTGCTTCACAAAGAACTCCAATCGCCAGGTAAGTATTAAGATTTTGTCCTCTAAGTTCACAATAGAAACGACTTGAGTAATCTGTTCTCACTTGTAAAAATGGGCAACGATTTCCGTGGCCTCCAGGGTTGTGTAGGAATATGCATCACCACTCTCGTGCATCTAAGCTTCCCTGTTTGTTTGCACTAAGCAAGGAACTTATGAGGTCAAAACATCTGCACGTAAATATAATTATCTTATTGTGAGAACATAAATGGGGTTTCACTCACTTGTATTTTTTTTCAAAAAACAAAAGACAGGGGAACCTATTGTCCTCCCCTTGGCTCAAAACCATAAATGGGGTGGGGGCCCTAAGTAACAAAAAGGGGTGTCCTCCCCCCCCCCCATAAAATAAAACCCTGAATACCCTCAACAAAAAACTAAATATTTGTAAATAAAATTAAAAATTAAAAAGACCAGAGCTAAAAAAAAAAAATAAGTTGAAAAATAAATAAATCACGATGCTAAAAACATTAATCCATCTTCACCCAGCAAGTGCACTGTAAGGACTACATGTTTCTAATGTTCTTTTGATGTCTTCATTATTTTTTCAGTAACCTGTATAGGCAGGATTTAAGCCCTTGAAGAGAAACTATAGTGCTAGGAATACAACGTTGTATAAAGTACCCTTAGTGCCCCCCCTCTCTGCCCCCCCCCACCCCCCCACCAGTGTCATATGCTTTTCTACACATCCAGTCTGTAGCATTAGCAATCCCTTTCAGTGTGGAAAACACAGCCAGTCAAGGCAAAACCTTATTTTTAAGAAGCCTAAAAAACTGCCTTTGTGGTTTTACTGTTTGATAAATGTTCAGTTTTGATGCCGTTGATGATCACACCATACCTACTTAAAGGGCATCGGTTGTGCCCCAAACAACCTATACTCATTAGAGTGAGCATATGATTTTATGAATACAATGTGATAGTAGTTTTGCTTTGGCATGCCAAGGCTTTGACTGACCAGGGAGAGCAGAAAAGACTTCCCACCAGAGGTCCCTCTGCTCTCCTTGCATAACAACCACAGTGGAAACTGTCTAGCCAGCAATTCTTTTCAAATGTTTTTTATTACAGAAAAATTTGTTTCCATAACAGTAAGAATAATGGTATAATATGAATATATATGTAAATAACATGCATTTAAAAAAAATAACCGGAAATATAATTTGTACATATCATCCGATACAATATGTAATAATTAATGTTTTTTTCAATAAAGTATAGTCAGTTATTAAAAAAATAAATAAAGATGCCAAATATGTTACATGCAACAATGTGCTTAAAATAAGATCACATAAATAACTTTGTTATCTGGTCTGGTGAAGTTATTATAATTTATATCAATTCTTGACATCCCGTTCCCAGAGATCCCATTCATATTTCAGAACATTAACTGTATTGGAAGGTGGTCTAAAGGCTAATTCACATCTCTTGGCTTCTAGAGTATTATGAAACACCTCAGTCATAAAAGGAATAGTAGCTGTTTTCCATTATCAAGGAAAGACCAAAGTGGCTGAAACCAAGAGATGGCTAAAATAAATATTTAAATTTTGGGCAAATCAGCTGGGAATCTCCCCAGGTGACACAATTCTGGTTTCATAATGGGGATTTGATCAGTGATAAGTTTAATTATAGTGTGAATAGTGCTGACTGAGGAATATTGGAACGGAGGGATGTGACATCCCTCCGTTCCGACACCGGCACTCTGGCAACGAAGCCAGCATGCCGTCGTCACTGACGAGATTTGCCCTGCTTGTGGATGCATCCCAAGTAGGGCACATCAAAGAAGAACAGAGGCAGAGCAAAGGATGGATAGTAGGTGGGTTTTACACAAAGACTAACATCTATGAAGTGGCACTGGGACAATGAAAACTTAGTAAATCTTTATATTTTACACTGGATACACCATTTATGTTTGTGATATATGTATATTCAATTTAAATGGGAGCAACTGCAGGTAAGTTAAATTATACATAACAAGTTCACTTTAAAGTGGTAAAAGTTTAAATTATATGTGAGCACATACTTAATAGCCTGGTTACCTGATGCCTCTGGAATTGCACACAGTGTATGGAGATTTATACAAGGTAATAGGTTATACTGACTGTTAGCGAGTATGTTACAGTGTTAAAATTAGAATATAAGGACAAATGTGAAAGTAAGCAATTTGTAACACATTTAGAGTAAGAATCATGTTTGATGTTAAGCTAGGATTATCACTAAACATGGCTCTTAACAATGTAACTAGTGTTCAAACAAACAACTTGCGGACAATTACCATTTTTATGCAATGAAGTTTGCTTTTGTCAAATTCCAGCCTCATATATCTCATTGAGATTATAAGCATAACTATAACGCTATATTTCCCTGCAGTGTTTTACAGTAATGTAGCGGCGATGTAACAGCAAGTAACTGCCAAACAAATCTTGCTAGATATAAAATATACAATATACAAATGGAGTAACGGTACACTAATGTAAGAACATCTCAGTTAATGTATACATAGTTGCTGTGTTCTGAAAGTGGTCTAAAGTACTAAAAGTGTTGAAGTTACCATGGAAACCTGTGGAACCCAGCCGGCACATTGCAATGGTAACTCCTCCCCTTTTCCATGCTTGCGCCACTTTGCAGTACATTACATGTTTTATACATTGTTTCTGTTTTTACTCCTGCAATGCAATGAGTGCCTTGACTATACTTTGAATGAACTGGTTATGTGAATTACTATATGTTTGTTTTTGTTTTTTTAAATGGAGCATCACATGAGAAAAAAAAAGTCGATGCAAGTTAAAGCAAGGAGATTGTCAATATTTTATTCAATAGATTTATTCCCAGTGAAGTGAGGCCTCCCCTTTAATGCAGTAGTAGTTATATTGATTACTGTATGAGGAGTCACCTTTTGTTAGTGTTTATTTATGTTGGCTCTAATTACACTGATGCACTCATTCTGATTTTCAAATTGATAAGACAAAGCCACAAACTGTGTTCAGTTCAGAAGCACAATTCAGTTAGGGCATTCAAGGTGTACCACAGCTTTGTCCTGCAGAGTGAAAAATTCCTGAGCTGGGAGCTCAAGAGGAAATATTAACTGTATTAACTATAATTCTCATAAAGGTAACTCAATTTCATTGTCTTGATTCTATTCATATTTGACGTATTTTTAAATGTTCTTTTGGAACTGTATCTTTAAGAGACACTGGTAGATGCCACAGTTTCTGTTTAATAGCGAACACCCTCCATGCTTCTTTTCCTGTAAATGTTTATTGAAGTGAGAACATTTTCATCTCTCTTCTCTATAGGAAGTATGATTAAGGAACCAAATGCTTTTTCAGCTGAGAAAGAATTACATCACAAGAAGTTTATACTACTTCGCATGTATGACCCAGCTTGTCATTTCATCCTCGCTTTCTGGGTTTACCTAAATTCTGAGATCAATTAATGTTATCAGACTGGACCAGCTTAAAGGATTACTCTTTCTCTAATCCAATCTTCGATTTCGGACTGATCTTCTGTCTACTATTCAGACTGTTAATTGGAATGTCTTTAGGATTTCCTTTCTTTTTAACTACTTAAATTAATATTGCCAAACTGGATTTCTAAACGGATCTCCCAAACACTCACCACCTAACTTTTGAAGACCTGGATTGTTAAATCGACTTTGTTTAAATAGTCTCCTTTTGTTTTATCAATTATTGAGGACTATTTGCTTGACATTTATTGTTACTCTGAGTTGGATATAATTCTCTGCCACCTTATTTCAAGTCTGAAGAAAAGTTGCCTCCTGAAAAGTAAAGGTAACATTATGGCTTACATACCTTCAGAGGTGGTTCCCATCATTCTACTTTATCATTATAAACTTTGGAAAACAATTTTTTTTATTATTTTTTTTATTAAACAGAGTTGTTAGGTAATGAGTATTGGCTTGGTATAGCCCTTGTTATTCTGCTACTACAGATGGCCACTAGAGATGTTACGTGTGTGAGGGTTGCACAGCGTGCAGCACTAGCATTCAGCATATCCACGATCTGCATGGAACATTCCCCATAGAGATGCGTTGATTTAATGCATCTCTTTGAGGAGATGCTGATTGGCGCAACGTGGGATTTTGCAGTGGACATATGCAATAGCCTCCCAATGCTTTCCTATGAGAAATCATTGGATTTTCTGATATATTCTAATTTGAAGATCTCACCCAAGGAGGTGTAATGGGTGTTGGACCAGCTGGAAATAAGGTAAGTTTTACACCTTTTTAGGCTGGGGGCCTAAAGGCCACATTTACAACAATAGTGTCAGGAATGCATGTTTGTATTCCGGATACTATAGTGTTCCTTTAAATAACACTTCAAGCATGATAACGTCTGGAACCACCCCATAGAACTGTAGAAAATGATATCTGATTTGCTTTCATATTTTATTAGACTTACCTTTTTTCTTTAATTTCAGAAATGGGTAATGAAAACTCTCATGTTGCCAATGCTTGTAACTCTGAGATCATGATCTTTTTTCAATCATCAAAGCTACACATCTCAGATGTAGCATATGAAGTTACTACAGACATTGGAGTAAAAGTTACCGATATGAAGCATGAAGTACATAATAACTTAGGAACAAAATTAAATGTGACCCTAAAGCCAGATTCCAGGATCCAATACATAAGGTGTCCTCCAAAAGAATACATTAAGATTCCTCTGCAAAGAAACATCTTTGTAACAGTAATAGCAAAACGTGAGGATAAGAATGAGCTGATGTGCATGAACTTCATGGTTCCAAGTGATCGATCAATCATTGTCATTGATAATGGGATGATCAAGTTTGCCAAGTATGGCTCCCTGTGGAAGGATGAGGATGGCCGATATTACATCTAAAGTATGTGGTGAGTTAAGAACTCAGGACTAATTATCATAACTAGTGATGTAAAAGAGAATGGAAGGCACATCTACAAACTATTAACACAGTTGGTAATTGGCATAGACTTCAAGAAAGGCACTGTTCCATTTGCTCGATAATCTAGTATGCAATATAATGTATTTATAACTGTAGTCTATTATTTAATGGGCACCAGAAAGTGTGGGTAGGGAAAGTGTGCAAGCGTGTAAGTGTATAAAGGAGTAGGAAAGAAGTATGGCTGGTTAATTCCTAAATCATAAGGCTTGGCTGATTTTTGCCACCTCTTCTTCGTCTGTGCTGAAAGTCTCCCTTCTAGAATCCACAAGATTTTTGAAGTGCTCAGTAGACTTACGCAAAGCAGAAAAATGTGTTTTGGCCGAACCATATCATTCAAAAATTAAAATGTTTGGCAGAATTTTATTCATGTTGCAGTTCAGCTCCTCAACTTTTTGCTCCACAAAAAAGATTCAGAGAAAGAAATAGTCAGATGAACCGAAGGGGTGCGAAAATTGGCTATTCAGTGTACTGCAGAAAATATACATGATATAAATATTATGTATATCTTTTGTAGTACACTGAAAGGCGCATTTTACAGCCATTTGATTCAAAGAAAAAGTGAGAAAAAGTAACCAATTCGAGGAAAAAAGAGAAGTTTTTTTTAATCTGTATATATATGTAAATATAGTTGTTGTTTTTTTGTAACCTAGCCAGCAATCATCTTTTTTTCCCAATTAAGTATTATTTTCTTAGTGTCACAGGCAGAACTCCAAATACACATGCAAACAAACATGTTTGTCACTTGCATGAGTCATTTGTTGAGTTGTACATCGGTATGACAGTTTGGAAGTGGGCAATTCGGACATTCACCCTATTGGCCAAAATTCAGAAAAAAAGCAGTTTGAAACAAAATGAATACTCTGTGTAAAAGATCGCACACTATCCTGCGTAGTGAGTGCTGAGAATGGTGGACTCTCCCAGTGTCCTCTGCCTTCTAGTAATGTGTGAAAAATCTGCCTAGGAGGTCTGCCAATAAAGATTGATGCATGCACAAGTATATTTGCCCCATCTTCTGTGCAGATAGTGATGATGGGAAGTCCATAAAGACTAATGGTTGGTTTTCAAACACTTTCTAATCCAAGGTGCATGTATATGAAAGAAGGATTCTGTCATATATTAATAGAAGACATGAGTTTTTTTCTATTTTTTTTTACTTAAAATTCAGTTACAAATATTTATATATTTCCTATCAAAACGTGATGAGAGGATTATTAAATTAAAAATAGTTTTGAGGTGACAGTTGTAAAATTTCAAGCATTTCAAATTTTGCTTGCTCTGCTATTCTGTCACTTGTGCCTGTCTTGCAGAGACTTGAACATGAATACTTCCTCCGTCTAAAGTTCGAGCACTCCCTCACAACCAACTGATGGGCCATAATTATGATTAAACTGCCACTCTCATTAAAAATGTTCAATCTTCCCAATTTAAAAAAACTCTCTATTTTTTTTTTTTTATTATTGCTATCTCAACCTTTGGACCAAATTGTAATTTTTGTACCTACTGCTTACTTGTTAGACTTATTGTTCACTATACAGTTACACTTTTCATTCATACCAACCAGGTTTAGAGTATTGGACTATAAACAGAAATGCCACATTTTGTCCTACATATCATTGGTATATCCAACAGACATATACAAATGTGTTTAAATGCCCTGACTATGTGACCTGCGTGGTGTCTTCATGAATAAAGGTTCTTAAAAATGCTATGTGACTAAATAAAAACAGACAATTTACAGTAAACTTTATATTAAAACTTGTGTATCTTTTGATTTCTTCTGTAATCTTTGACACATAAAGAACTTTTTAAGCCTTCAAAGTCTATGAATGGCATAGTTATAGAGTATGTTGATCCCATTTAAGTTTTTTTCTATTTGTAGGCCAGATGAAAATGAGAAGAACTCGCACTATCCATTCATTGTCTGAAATGACCAGGTTTCTTCAATGTCAAAGGAGTTCTTTCAAATTTAAATCTAAGCTTTTTCTTCAAATAAAATCAACTCAACAAATCAACACATTCATGAGAATGGAGGGTGAGGGGAGACTGATCTACAACTGGAAAAAAGGGAAGGGATTGTGAAAATGGACAACCACTTATTATGGGGACTGATATTGGAAAAGAAATTACTACTGGTTATGGGAACAGGAATTTGAAAATAGATTACTACTGTCTATGGAAAGAGATGGAGAGAATGGGCTACTACTGGCTATGGGAAGAGGAGAGTGAGAATGGGCTATTACTGACTATAATGGGGGAACAGGTTGAATGGGCTACTATTGGCTATGAGCATGATTGTGGGAGAATTGGCTACTGATTATAGAGCATGTGGATACAATAAAAACACAATGATTCTTAGTTACATTATATTTAGAAGAGCTTGCACTGTCCTTTCAAATTAAATATTTTTTCAAATAAAGTCAGCTTAAAATTAACAATTAACTGGTTTCCTTTACATTGTCTGATATTTAACTTATACAGTCTCTGTAACCTGCAATTGACTAACCTATAGATTGGTGTTAACTACTTTGCTCATCTGCTACCATACTGTGCCATAGGGGCTGTGGCGGGACCTGTTCGTGAATTGCTGTGTGTATTCCCAGTGCCTTGCCCCATATTGTCTTGCAATCCTGTGTTCTACCTACTCCTCGTTCAGGGGAGCCCAGGCGAACGGGTTATATTTGCCTCCTGAATGGGGACCACCTCCATACCCCATTTAAAATGTTTATTTAGAGCGTTCACACCTCCTTAAGGAGGTGTAAAAACCACAAACCACAGAGGGAAACCCCGGCGCGTGCCGACCCTGGGTGGTGTCCCGTTAGTTAGACGAACGCCATCTGGGGGAGCATTCATGGATTGCTACCCTCCTCATTCGGGTTCCGAACGAGGACCTCCTCAGTGCCTCTTGGAGTGTTCACACCAATCAATTAGAACATTGGCAACTTGCAACATAAGTGTGAAACCACAAGGGAAGTAATTAATGAATGCTTTCCTGGGTGGCCGCCGTTCGTATAGAGCATTCGTGTCCTGAAAGGAGACACTTTCCTTGCCTGGTTTCACCCACGGACCCCATGAGCAGCAGCGGTTAGCGTTCTAGCGTTCTGGGGGTCCCTGAGATTGGTGGGGACACGCTCTTGGGGACAATGGTGGTTTGGCAGGCTTTCTGTAGATGGGAGTCACAGAGGCGGGAAACTTTCCAGCACTGGGACTCCCAGGTACAGAGGAAAACCCTGAGGATGGGTGACGGGAACTGGGGACAAAGGGACTGGAGTTCCTGTCACACGCACTGGCCCCAAGAATGGGGAGGACCCTGGGAGGGTGCATGGAGTGGCAGGAACTGGGGACAAAGGGACTGGATTTCCGGTTCTGTTATGCGACCCCCGGGAGGGGGAAGACCCTGGGAGGGGACACGGTCGTTGTGTGTGATCCACCCCTGCATGGGGAAACTATAAAGCCGAGTGTTGCCAATAAAGTTGTGTTGTACCCCTGGAACTGTGTGTTATCCGGTTACTAGGGAAGATGGGTCTCTTAATTCATTTATAGCGGGTGTAACCAGCCGGGTTACCCAGGGCCCGATTAATTTGAATGCCACTTTTCACCATATTATTTCAAAATGTACTACATTCATTTTATTTATTTATTTACATATTTCTGCTGCATATTTTTTAAACCTTATGTCTGTGTGCTACTGTAGTACAATTATCTAAATTGTGCTTAGCTACATCTCCTGAGTACATCAATACCCCTATGTATACATTTGATAGAATATATATTAGTATCAATTATGCTCAACGCGCGTTTTGGCGCCAGAACTCTTGACAAAGGCGCATGCTGGCGCCGAAACGCGTGTTGAGCATAACTGATACTAATATTTATTCTATTTAGGATCACTATCTACTTCATTAAGTATTTGGGTTTGTCGTTCTCACTTTTATATAGCCGTCTAGCCGCTCTCTTTAGAATCTGAGGTACCTTACTCAGTAGGGAGATTTTTGTTGCCATCCTCAGTATGCTGTGCTAAGATGACTTTTTACTGTTAACAAGTCTTTAGTTCCTTTAGGATCCATTTATACGAATGCATTATGGGGATTGAAGAAGAGCATTTTAGATGCTCATCTTTTTTGGGGGGGTTTGTACAAGCTAAGCGAGCACTTGAGATTCCTGAGCTCTGTCCAGCTGGACCAATTCAATTACCCCGACGTTCCCTCCGTATATTATTTTATCAACCGTAGCATTGGGAATTAGATTGAGGGAACTGGGGTGGTAAGAGGCTTATATGCTAACATTCCGATTATATCATTAATGCGGTCTACACTGCCGTCTATTCTCACTTCTATACCTTTATTGCATTTGGGGACTATTTGGAGTATTTTAATTGGGGGGACAGTGTTATCCACTGACTAGTATTGAGATTACACCATTAGTTCGGCTTATACTGCTCCCCATATACTCCTATATACCTTCTGCAACCTATTGCCTTTGTTGTTAACAATATCCCCTACCGCCCCTGGTATTATTTTGAGTTTACCTATTACGGACAACTCTAGTTAGTAGCAATATATGTGAAATTGTAAGCACATCGCTCAATTAATGTTCACACGAACAGTCTTTATTTCAGGGGATACATTCTTATTCTTTTTTAGCCCACACTCTGTATAGTCGACTAAAGATACTTTGTCCGCTTATAAGCTGTTTGTAACAGTCTTTCAACATTAGCTAGGAGATATGCATACCTTGTGAGCTCAGCCCACACTCCTCAGTATGACTAGCTGACTGCAGACAACGTGTCATTTGGAAGCTATTCACAATAAGCTCTTGTTAATATTTTATCTCTAATAGTAGCTGAGTGTGAGACATTCATACTGTGCGAGTGCTATTGTCTGGATAGATTAATTGATGATCCTATTTCTATAATTTGGTCACTGTACACACACCTTTTTTCACCTCATTCATTTTAGTTTAATTTCCCTTAAGAGGGACTAATAAAGATTTATATATATTGTAATTAGTTCTCTTTATGCTCCATTATTGGCAACGTTTTGCAATTAATTGGCGGAGCAGATCCGTTTAGGGTTTAGATTCTGAGTTTGGGTGCACTGTTCTAGTTAACCCATTTCAGTCTCTTATTTTGCTATTGTAATTTTGGGTTATGCCCTGATACCCTTCAACCAACCACAACTCCAGTGGATTGACCATTTTGGTCTTTTCACTGTTGTTGTACTATTTATAATCCTAACCATAACCCTAATACTAACCATAACTGTAACACTAGTCCTAACTTGATTTTTTTTTCCTTATCTTTATCCTTACAGAAAGAACCTATAATCCCCCTTCTCACCTATGGTTTTCCAAGAAAAGTGTAATCTTTTAGGGGATTTGGCATTTTGTGTAGTTGATAACTAGAATGGATGCTCTCTTGTGGCAGCCTGAGGTACTTGTTCTGTTTTTATGGGTTGCTACAGTAACCAAGATGAGAGTTAAATTCATCAATGCCACGTAACTTTGAGAAATGTTAGAGTTTCTATCTAACAATCATCCTGGCAGGCATTATGCTCTATCCCTTAGGAATACATTGCGATTTTACAAATTTACACTTGGTCCCAAAAACGGGTTGCTGTGGTAACCAATACTATACATGGCTGATCAGACATAGAAAACTGAGATAATCGATAGTCTAAACAATGATGGTCATTGGTGCATTAAACTGTTAGTACTTCACACAGTCTACACAGGTGTGTTCTGTGGGGTTAGAAACACTACACAAAGTCATCGATCGTGGACACAGCAGACCAGGTCTAAGTCGGCCAGGTCCCATGACCAAGAGTCTTTACAACACCTTTCTGGATAGTGATCCTTACTAGTTTCAACCAACTAGGGGAGCAGAGACAAAATAAAATGTCCTGCGCTCAAACTCCCACTACTCCTGGGTGGCAGCAACGACCATAGCATACATACAATAAAAACCCCAATACATACAATAAAAACAAAGAAAAAAAGAAAAGTTACCTGTGCTCTTTACCAAATCCCTATGTATATTTAAACAAATGCAAGTTATTTAGTTATTCCAATGGCCATTGGAGGTAATGCCCACCTGCCACGTCAGCCCACCAAGGTGTGTCTTATACTAACTGTAACGGCACCCTCAGCATAAAAGGGTTAAACCGCCGTTTAGTAGATCTTCCCTTCCAGAGGCACAGGCACAGCTACTGCAGAACACCAATCCGCCGAACAGGAAACCATATGAATGCCGTAAAAAAACTGCCGAATAGGGAAAACCATACGAATAGGTTTACACTCCTAGCAGTCGAACTGGAACAGCATACAATAAAACCCCCAAGAACGAGACAAAGCTCCATGTTGAGGGTCAAGCAGTGAACAGTCAGAGCTGTGGGTTTATTGTGCTTATGTACACATTCTTACACATTAGTACCACCCACAGGGATTTGGAACACAACCAATAAACACATACAATACACTCAGACACTCCCACACAAATTCCTCCCCTCTGCATGTGATTCAATTACCTTACACAATGGGTAATGTAATTAGCACAAGCAGAAAAATACATTTTTTCCACATTATTCATAACTTGAAAAGTATGCATCACATTCACATAAAACACTTTTTCAGAATCAGCATACTCCAAATACAAACATATGTCAAATTCATACAAATTGGTCCAATGGTTCAAAAGATAGATCGTAGTCCTTTGTGACCAAAGGAAGCATGGTTTTTCTGCCCAAAATCAGTTCCACAGAGTCTTCTATCCTGGAGATAATTGGGAAGTAATCCAATTATCTAAAGATAGAGGCAAAACTCCATTGGACACATGGCAGCAAAAGACAATAAAACACATAAAAACATATAACTGTGCAGCCATTGCACAAAACAGGTACATTCAACATATCCCCAGATAGCTCAGATCTGAGCGCACATTATTACTGAATGGCGCTCAGAGCACACACATACAGATCAATTGCCATGGAGCCAAAGTCTTTCCCATAGTTTTTCATCATACAAATAGGCTCCATGGCATAGCTATCTGGGATATCACCGCTCAAACAGGGCATGCACCAAATGACCAGGCTTTCATGTCTTTGCAGGGGAAAATCAAGCCTTTTAACATGGGGCCATAATCCAAAGGCAACAGGCGAGCAACCAGGCTTCTCCAATGCAATGTGGCGAGATTGGTCTCATCACACTAACCATTCATTTTGCTTCCTTGAGCTTCTGGCAAAGATATCTCTAATGAGATAGAGAGTGGTGTTTTTTAGATCCACCCCTACATATTTATTAACCCTTAACAGGGAACACATGAGATGGGCGGCAGTTTTGTAACATAGCT